GCCCGCCGCGAGGAGAGCCGCCGCCGAGAGACGCTTCCCCCGCTTCTGCCAGCCGGAGTCGTCGCAGGCAGCGCCGGGAAGCAACCTGTCAGTCTCCCTCGCAGGCGGTCCCCGAAGGACCCTTCCCACGCTCGCGTCTGTCCCCGAGAGGGGAGTTTGAAGCCCTCTCCATGCCTTATCAAGTTCCTTATCAGAGTGGCTGCCTGAAACTGTAGACCGGTTCAGCTTTATCTGGCGCAGGGGAGGAAAACGGCGTGGCTCTCCTGCTCTCGTGGCCCCATCCTTAATCGAGGACCACCTCTTTTGCTTTGTTTTAAAATATGAAGATGATGAAGTGTGGATTGCTACGTGAAACACCTAGATCCTTGTTGCGGAGCGAGGGCTTCGTATTCACCTTCCAACTCCTCATCTGTGCGCTTTGAGACAGGACGCTAATCCTTCTCCCTTTTCCCTCTTCCCTAAACCTTTCCTTGCTTCCATGCTGCATAGGTCAGGATTTTGGTCAGTGTTGTTTACGGAAGGGGGAAAAAAGAAGGCAGTTGAGATCCCAAACAAAAGTATTTGTATGACTCATCTAGTTGGATTTAAGACATCCTAGCCTTCTTTCAAGGAGCCTTTGCTTCTCTTTGAAGGTATCAGATGCTTGTTCCTGTTCTTCCAGAGGAGGATGGATTGAAAGTTGTGCATTTCAGACTTTTTCTGGGCCACTGCTATTATTAAAAGACATAATGGGGCTTTTTCACTGGATTATTGCCAGAATTAGTTTACACACTGAACGAATGAGTTGTTAGGCCTCTCCTGTACAATAATGTTTGTTCCGCTTTAATGTAAAGTTGCTGTGGAGGTTTGGGTTAAAAATTGTGGAGGACAGTCTGCATCAGAAGAGGTTCTCTTCATCTCTGGTTGGTGTGGCAACCCCAATCTGTCCTCGATGCCTTCAGCCTTGGCCATCTTCACTTGCCGCCCGAACTCACATCCGTTTCAGGAGCGTCATGTCTACCTGGACGAGCCTGTCAAGATTGGCCGCTCTGTGGCTCGCTGCCGGCCAGCTCAGAATAACGCAACTTTTGACTGTAAGGTGCTGTCCAGGAACCATGCTCTTGTCTGGTTTGACCACAAGACAGGCAAGGTGAGATGTTTGTTTTCTTCAATTAAAAGTACGTTTTTAGCAATATTACAGATCACTTTAGTTTCCCTGTAATAGATATGGTTGCAGGTGGAAGCAATAAGATTTGTATAAGAGCTGGAGTGATTCTCAGCAGGTAAGTTGATAATTTTGTATTAAGCTTTAAATATTATTTTAAAAACATAAAATAATGGTCAAAGAAGGTGGTGAGGGTTGAAAAATTTGCGTTCTTGTTCATTGCTGGAAGGATGTGGTTTTCAAGGTGAGTAATAATTCCAAATCTGAAAGCTTAGGCTTAGATAAAATCATAAAAGAGTATTTTTCAAATGCTGAGAAATCCCTATTTTTTATCTGAGTATGTAAATAAATCTCATTGTGAGGAGCTGTCAAAAAGCCAATTAAAAAAAAAACACCTGATGTTGCGTGGCACTCTTCCTACTTGGCCTGTTTTCAATTTTAGAACAAGTATTCTGTTATTTTGGTCTGACAGTTTCTCTCTGGCAGCAGGAGTCCGACAAATGACGTGCAAGTTGCTATATCATTGACAGCGAAAATGTATTAAAATACACTCTCTACTGTCTTAACCTATTACCCTTTCTCAGAAAGACAGTAGCTATCACGTTAAGTGAAATTTAGGGGCTCTGTAGTTCATATTTTGTCCGCTAGGGATTGAACTGGGACAAGTAAAGTCATTTTACTTAACCGCTGTCAAGTTAATTTTAAATTTCCAACTAGAAATGAACAATGTGCAGATTACAGTTGTTCAGCACTGTCTTTTAAATATATTGATGTTATGTCCTAGAACTTTAGTTACTGTAAACCAAATTTTATTTTCCTCTCCTATATGTCCTTCTATGAAATGTGATCAGTGTAGCTCTTCATTTTTAAGAGTAATATGGTCTGTACCTAATGCTTTTTTTTTTTTTTTAAGTAGAGTGACACAGCATAAGGAGCAGTAGAATACAGTCAAAGTTCTTAAACCTTTCCGTGTTAACTGTCCTGTGTTATGCAATCCCTGGGCATGATGGGACAAGACAAGCATTTAATTTCTTAAGGCTGGGTTGTGGCATGGCTTTCAAGTTACCTGCATTTAATTGTGCAAACTACTATTCGTATAAGTGTTTCATTAAAAATGTTGTTTTGGCCTCTTAATGTATATAATGTACATTCTTCTGTTAGACACTTTAGAAAAAACTTAAGTGTATTAAATATAGGTATTTTCACTTTAAGGTTACTTTGTAATCTTTTATTTGACCAGACAAACTAACATGTTCTGATTTATTATACTGTTTTTAATTTAAAACATGTTGTGCATATAGCTCTTTACCAGCGTTTCTCATGATCTTTAAAGATTAAGACCCTCCAGTGCCCACTTACGGCTATAAATAGGCTAGCCATATTCAAGATGGTTTAATTTGACAAAGCTTTTTTGGTGTTGAGCAAGTCTGCTAACTCACAAAGGAGCTTAAAAAGCAGTCAGCTCTTTTGTTGCTGCTGTTTTGTTCTTAAGTTTTAGTTAGCTTTGTTTTTTCTAATACAGGCCAAACAAGTGATATACCTGTTTATTTTATCTAGGTGATCATAATTAGCGAGGTGGTAGTAGTAAATAGACAGTAACATATGATAGCTCTTGAGATTCTGTCTGATGAGAAGTTGATGGAGGTCTTTGAAAATTGCCTAGATGGATATCTAGGTCAGTGGCTATAGCTATCAAGTAAAGACTGGGTTTGGGTTGATGCACAGGAGCGCGTTACTCTAAATTTTACGTGTTAGATGTAGTACTGTAAAAGGTTTAAGGAAGAGTTTGGACTGTATATCTGTTTCTTGGCAATACAATCAGGTTTTGGGGGGTCTGATTGAGTACCTGTGGTAAATTCTGAAGAGAAAGTGATAATTGGAGAAGAGGGGAAAACATTATCGGAGGTGGTAGATATAAAATGCTATTGGGAAGGGCTGGTAGGAGATATGTTGGTATATATAGTCTTAATCTTATTCTCGAATCACAAAAAGTATTTAAAAAACATTCTATGGTATTTTCAAAGTACAAGCAAAAAACTAAAAATTATGCCAAGAACATCTGCGTGCAGGCAAGTATATTATCACTGTTTACAGAACTTCAAATAAGCACATCTCATTTAGGAATATATTG